GTTACTGTTTGAAAAGTAAAGCACATATTTTTTTGTGCACAGGTGGGTTTTCTTGCTACTTTGTAGGTGTAGTTTTTCCAATTGTGTGAAAGCTACCAAGAAGGAAATTTAAAGTATACTTGGAGGAATATTATAAAATATACATCAAGGTGAAGTAATAGATGATCCAAATGAGTAAAATAGAGAAAAACTGTGACCAAGGTGCTAAAGTTGAAGCTTCCAAACAATAGCCAATGTCATGGTGCCTACAGCCATCATTTATATAAAGTCTAAGAACGCAACCTAAAATTTCACTGAAGAAAAACAAATGGATTTGCTGTAAATTTGACTTGTGTTACATTAAACATCAAAGAGCATGCTCCCTATTTCATGTTTTTTTAATGTACTTTTACTTCAGTTTTTTGGAGATACAGTAATTTAATAAAAAAGTTTTAAATACGCCCTGCTCTCCAAGCAAAACGTGAAATGTGGACTCTCTAAATAAATGTATAACCTTGTGTAACCCTGCATGAGTTAGGCAGTTACAAACTCAGGTGCTTCTGTGAGAGTGGTTGCATCAATTTAGTTTTTCAGCAGCATCTCCTAGGCAACATAAATAGCATGTGTTATCCCACCAACCTCTTAAAATATGAGAAAAATCCTGTTTGGTGCATGGATATGTGACCTTCAAGTGACACTTTCACTTTCAGCTTTAATCTGTAATTTTGTTTCTTCAAATTGGTAAGAGATGTGCAGGTAAAAGCAGCAGGGGCAATTTTTAAAAGAAACAACCAGCACATTTCGAACTTCAGCTATTTCTGTATTTAACTCGATTTTAAATAGCTAACTGAGAAAACAGGTTTTCAGACACTTTAAATATTGCTGGTTTTCAAAGTCTGAGGTCATGTTTCTCTGCTGGAAAATGGGTTCTGGTGAGAGAAGCAGAAAGGGGAGTTCAACTATCCTGGGATCTTATTCATGAGTGATGGGAAGGTGGAATGTGAGGTGGACCAGCGGATTAATCCAGCATCTTTGTGGTTGTTTTGGGACTGTTGTAGTAAAGAGAATGCTGAGCTAAGAGGTGAAACTTTCAATTTACCAGTCCATCTAGATTTCAGACCTCACTGATGGTCATGAGATCTGGGTAATGAGTTTCCTCTGAAGGGTGTATGAGTTCAAAGATAGGCTGGGGAGCTTGAAGTAGAACTGCTGCTCCTCTGTGTTAAAAGGAGCCAGTTGAAGCCGTTTAGGCATCTGGTTAGGATGCCTCCTGGGTGCCTCCCTCTGCAGTGTTTCTGCACATATCCAAGTGGGATGAGATCCCAGGGTAGACCCACAACCCACAGGATAGAATATATATCTCATCTGGATTGGGAGGAATGCTCCAGGAGGAAATGGAAAGTGTTGCTGGGGAGAAGGACATTAGGAATATCCTGCTTAGCCTGCTCCAACCACAACTCAACTTTTGATAAGTAGAAGATGATGAATGGATGTTTGCTGAAGCTTCTGCTTATTTATACCTGTTGATCTCATGGTGTGTGCGAGTTTTTATTTCACTGAATTCCAACTTAAAAATACCTTTTGTTATTGACTGGGGCTAGGAGGCATGGATTTCTAGCTTTTGAAAGAGGGCAAAACTGGATTCAATCAAATATTAATCTTTTCAGGTTGGATAGAAAATTCTTAAGGTTTGTGTCTATGTGTGAACAAGATCCACAGTTATAGGGTTGGATCAAATATATATTCATGATTATTTTTCTTGATTAATCTCTTCTTCAATAACACCCCCCCCAAAAAAAAAAAACAAAACAAAAAAAAAACCCCTGTTAAGCTAGTCCTCTAAATATTTCAGAAGATGACATCTTTAATCTAAAAACTGCTGTCACATAAAATAAGACATCAAGCTGAATTATTATTAATTAATCACAACAGTTGCCCATTTCTACTAATCACGTAATCAAGTCAGTAATGCTTAATTTTGTTTCCACATTTCTGCACGCACGCGCACACGTCACACACAACTACACACACAAAAACGTGTCTGTACGTCACTCTCGTCAGACGTGAGCTGCCCGACCAACAATACTTTCACCCCGCCAACAGGATCCTTTGCCATCCTCGTTTTGATCTTCAGACGTGCTTTGTTCTGCTTGACTGAGCTTGTGCAGACCACTTATGCACGCAGGGACACATGCTCCGCATGCACACCAAGCCCATACACACACATGCGTGCGGGCAGCTAGTGGCTGCGTGTTCAGTGGCAATATTATTAATGGGGTGTGTCTAGGCTGTCGTAAACATCTCCCAACAGCACTCAGCGAAAACAGACGCGTGGCGACACCCCCGCATCTCCCTCCACTTAAGCAGCCTGAAGATTTCAGCAGAGCACCTTGCCTGGAGCGACTCCACAGTCCCAGTTCCAGCGTCTCTCTGTATCTCCTGACCACAAACTGCTCTATAAATCCCGCTTGCATCCACATACAGACAAAATAACACTTCCTCTCTTTCTTTGCTCCATTCTTCCACTTTGTGTCCTTTCTTCCCCTCCCTTATTCCATCTGCCTGGGGTGAAGGTTTGTCTTGATTAGGAGACTCTGTTGGCTGCCTCTTTTATCACTAGCTGTGCAGAAAGGAGCAAACTGGCAGTGGGCAAATGAAAGCCCTCTATCTCCTTCTTATGCTCAACTCCCACCTCACTCACTGGCCCCCGATTTCTTTACTTTTGTTGTTCTTACTTACTTTTTAAAATCTATTATTCCGTCTCGTGTTTTTTTTCTGTTCTCCCTCTTGTTTGTTTTACTTGTCTCATGTTTCCTGTCGGTGTCATTTCCTGTTCTTTCTTTATTTAGCCCCATCCTACTCTCCCTCACTCCTGCAAAATAGCTACTCGAACAAGTGTAGATTCTTTGCATGACTTATTTGTGTAGACGGTGAATCAAGTAGTCATCAAACTGACACGCTCTACATATCAATGAGACCTGCTTTCCCTTCTTCACATTCATGAGTAATGGCTCAGCGCTGTCCCTGGGCTCATTTTGTACAATGCAATGAAGAAAGCACTAGATAATCTCCAGTGAACAAGGACTGTAGAGGAAGTAGGGAACGTGGGAGTGGGGTCTTTCTGAGGTGACACTTTGATTGACAGAGAAATAGTATCAAAGATAGTGTCTGGTCCCAGGTGGCACCCGTACTAGCTTCTATTTATCGTCTGTGTTTCTGTTTGTGCCTGTATCAGTGATATGAGGAGAAAAGAAGTCTGATATGAATCAAATACACAAATGCATGCACCAGCACACAAACGCACACCTACAGTAATATGCGTGGACATAAATAAACATATGTGGTCATGCGTGAGCTCCCAGCGCCAATTCTATCCTAGTAAAGAAAAACCTCCTGGTGACTAAGCTACAATGGGTTAGAGGTTAAATGTTTGATATATCCAATAAATGTGTTGCGCTAGCAGAAATTTCACTTCAAAGTCACCTTCAGAATGTGTATATGTGCAGACGGCATGTGACTAGAATACTGTAAAACTTGCTATAATAGCTAGAATGCTTTATTTATCTCGGCGAACGGCAGAACCTGAGATTTATTGGCGCTGGGACATAATTTCTTTCGGCAGGTCGTCAGCAGCGTTTATTTCTAAAAGTGTTATAATTTACTCCTGTGTGTGCGTATGTGTGTGTGTGCACATCACTGCAACTCCTACTACTGCTACAGTACTGCAACTTCTTATGTTGCAACTTTTTCCAGTATATGGGGCCATAATAATCACGTAAAGTAATCAGTTACTTGGCCAAAAAACATTAGTTATTGTTGATATAAATGATCAATGGCTACAGCACACAGTGTAATTTGTCTTGTATTAAAGCCTCCAGAAAAGAGTGATATAAGCCCTTTAGACTTTTTTGCAAATAGGGGCAATGCTGTTTACCTTGTAAACAGATATATTATATATTTCTTTGCATACATAAATCTTATTTACAATATTTAAAAGCTTCTATTATTGTTATATTTCTTCTTTTCCAACAGTACCTCAGTGACACGTGCAGAAGGAAAATGCTGGAAAGAAGGAAAAAAATTCAAATTTAGCTGCACATGTTTTCCGTGCACGTCTCTGAAAATATTATGGTTTTTGGGGCAGAAAAATAAAGTGTACCAAGAAAAGAATCACGCACACACATCAGTGCCAGACTCTCAGATATAAGCATGCGTAAGCCCACATATTCATGGAGCAGTGTGTAAGAACTTGAGTCTGATATCCCCCTGTGGGGGTCATTAGCTATTTTCTGATTGGCAGTGGATTTTTTTTTACATGTTTTTTAAATGTTCTTGGAATGTCTAAACATCAAAGTCCAAAGTGTTCTGACTGGGCAGTCTTGTTAATAATAGATGGTTGAATACTTTTACCCTGGAGCGTTATAAGTTCACACAGTGAATCACCGTGTTATTCTGTCAGTCATGTTGTTTCCTTAGCTACTACATGACTGACTACAGCATTTGAAATGAATCTGTATATATCTATATCTATATGGGTCTCCCATTGCCTTAAATTCACTTTGACCTGCCTTGAACAGTCAACTTGACCAGTGATAGCATAGCAAGGAGGAATGAGCCTTTAAAAATGCATGCATTAGCTAGGACTCTATCCTCACAGCACTGACTCTGGAGAGCAGGATCATGTGGCCCACACCTCATGTGTGGCCTTCCACACATATCCTGTGGATATATACTATAAGCAGTCAAAGAGCTAGACTAGCAAAGGTCAGTAGAAAATTTTAATATATCCCCCAACCCTGAGTTAAAGTCCTGACCTGAATTATTGTTTCAGTGGACCTCTAAGTGTGTGACTACATGAATAAATGTTACTGTTTTATAGAGTTTTGGGGTGTGCATGTGTATGCATGAGTGCTTTTCAACGCCTTTCAAGTTGTTTTTTAAAAAACTGGCTTCAAACAACAACCACGGGCCCTCACAAGTGATAAAAACAAGTGTGTGTGTGTGTGTGCTAGTGTCTGTACCTTCAATAGCAAATGGCTTTCCCACAGTAAGTAGTTTGCAGTCTGCATCGATAGAGACCTCATAGTCCAACAGGGCTTTATCCATGATGAATGCATCCAGGGCAGGAGGATCTGTCCTTCACCACCAACAACACACACACGCACACACACACACATCACAAGAAGTGAGAGAGTAACATTAATTGAAGACGATTAATCTTCGGTTTTACAAATCAGATTCTGTTTCCACACAATTCCTAAATCTCCAGACCTGCTCAGGAACCTTGGATTTAGGGCTGTTATGCCACTGTGTCATTTATACAGGGGATAAGATTAACTGCATTCTAATACACTATGTAAACACATACATCATTACCTAAACCAACATCCTCTGTCGCGGACTGATAAGGCATTATACACACTGCTGAAGACTTTCCTACTCTGGCAATATCGATCCAATTGACCCTGATTGACCCTTAATTATAGACTGTTCCTCTGTGTGCAGCCTGTGCTGCTGACCATGGTTGGCAGAGGATTAGTTCCAGGAAATAAGGCTCAACAGACAGGGTCTGAATGATAGACCTACACACAGATATGTATATACGTTCGATGCAGAGACTTTCAAAGTGATAATAATGAACAAATAAACTCAGATTTGAAAGGCATAAAGAAGACGTGTACAAATATAGTCAGTCCAATGGAAAAATAGACAAGACTGATCAAATTACCTGAAACTTGTTGTTATTCAGGACATTTACCACTAAACACAGGCTGACTTTACAAAGTCTTTGCAGTGCTGGGAAGAAGGAAAGTCTGTTTTTCTCTGTCTAGACCTGTCAAATACTATGCACAGGGAGAAAAGTGAGGATAGAGAGTTCTTTTGGGACTAAAGAGAGTTGGAAGCTACCCGATGCACGGCCTTGGAATAAGAGTTGTGTGTGTGTGTGTGTGTGTATTTGAGCATGCCTATAAATATATAGGCATGAGAGTGAGCAGGTACAACTGTAAGCTCTAAGCTTGTGTATGTGCACACGTGCGCACAATTTCCTCTGAGCTTATATGTTTGTGTGCACCTGCATGTGTATCGTGCCTCTCCAGGAGAAGGCTTGGGATTTTTCTTCTTTAAGATTTGACTGCAGTATTGGGGTCAGTAGTTCTGCCAACACAGTATTTTACAGCCTTACTCCAGTTCTCTGCACTGCTGTGACTTCGACTTCTGCTTTGCCTCACACGCAAACAAATGCCGCCTTCATCTTTTCTGTTCTCATCCTCTTTCTCTGAACAAGCGCTTTCTATCTTCCCACTTGAATCACAAAGTCAGCACATGCACCATCTCAGTAGCTCTGCTGGTGCTCTCTGGAGTAGGCATTGTGTCTGAGAAGCGTGTGCGTCGTTGTGGTTGTGCTTGTGCTTGGTACAGTACATGGGCAGGATAAAATTATTATTATTATTATTTTTTTTACTATTTTTGTACCCTGTGAATCCAGTCTAGTGTTTTTGATGTGAAGTTTAAGGGGTCTAACGTGGTAAAACGATCTGATTTTACATAAAATAAAATGATAAAGTAAAATGTAAAAACCTGCCTCAAAACAGAATCTTGTGCCCAAACATTTAATCTTTCTGTCATAAGCCCTTTTCTTTATTCAACAGCAAAACTATGAGCGATGAGATGCCACAAAAACTAAATGCGAATACTAAAAGTATTGCCACTCTCATCCTCGATTGCTGGTAATCTGATGGAGAAGCTAAATCCAGAAGACCGCTGAAGGCAAAACAGTTTAGGCTGCCAGAAACCAAAGTGGGTTCATCCTCAACTGCTTAAGGAAAGCCAGCTGGTACGGAAATAACAGATTTGCTAGATGTGGAGGAGTGAAGGACATGTAAAATAAATAAAAAAGTAAATATACAAAAGCAACATAATTTGTGAATAACTAATATAATGAATGACGAGTGTGAACACAGTCTAATTAACTGGTTATTCAGAATGATTATTTCTTGGATTCCTCTGTATGACCTTTTTTCAGCCTTCAGATCATCTTTATAACTTCTGTAATGAGGTTCATTTATTTCATCCACATCCTTTGCATGAACCTTATGAACAGAACTACTTTCTGTCACACTGACTTTTTTTTTTTTTACGGTTTTCCATTCATTTTTATTTTCCCCATCACTTAAATTTGTTTTTTAAGTGCAATTTGTTGTAGCTCTTTCTTTTCATTTTCAATGATTTATGTAAAGCATTTTCAATTTCCTTTGTAAATTAAATGCGATACAAAAATAAACTTGTCTTCTGTGCTTGCTTTCATCTGCTTTCTGTCCCCATTCGACATCAGAGTGAATAATTTTTTCTCAGCACTCCCTACATCAGCCTGCCCCTGACCCTTATTCATCCCTCATTAAAAAAAAAAGTCTAATTATTTCTTTCTTTATAAACTACAAGGACTAATGAAATATAATTTATGTGTTTTTACCTCGGTTACACCTTATGCTGAATTGTGTCTAGATAAGGAAAAGCTCATGATTATGCATGGTTTAAATACATGCGGCTAGAGCACTGAGCACTTCTTCATATTTCTGTCGCATGCACTTGCAAAACAGTGTGTTCTCTTAATAAGAAAACGCTGATAAATGGGTTGCACACAACAGCACTGCAGGTGTAAAGAAAGCAGAAATCATCCCCAAAGCAAAACTTACATTAAGCTTGCAGCTTGTTCTTCATAATAATTCAAAATAAATATTTAAGAGAGAGAACGAGTAACATGCAAATTGTTGGTGCAATTAGTAGAACTGTTTTGCACAATGTGCATAGAAAATAAGTCCACTGAATATAGAAAGCCACAAATACGAGATGTGAACGTGACTAGATTTTTTTTTAGGTTAGCAGGAAAGGAAAAGGGTAAAAATGGTTATTTTCAATATTTCAGACAGTGTCCATGGATTTGATTGTTTCTTACTTTAACATGTGTACACCTTCTGGAGTGGTGGGTTGGTTGAAGCGTCTCATGTAGTCGTGCATCTCCGGGAAACTTTTCTTCATGTAATCCTCAGCACTGCTCTCCCTCACTGTACCAAAACGGAAGCCCAGGGACGGATGGTGCAGCTGTGGAGATGGAATAGGAAGGCATGGGTATAAGAGAGGGTGGATATGTAATTTAAGTGATGAATTCAGGTGATATCATCCTATTTAGGAGTTTAGATAAGGTGCTCCCTTATTCCCAAGGCGTTGCTACAGGAGATGGATCTCCACATTTGATTTGATATCAATTTTTATACCGGATGTCCGTGCTGATGCAACTCCGCAACCCTCCCATTTATCCAGGCTTGAGACCAGAAATAGCGTGGGACATCCTGAGCCTGGGTTTTTGTCTCCTTTAGGTCTTGAACCCAGGATCTTTCAGATGCTAAAATAAGTAAAAAATGTACTTGAGCTGATTTTCTTGACTACAGTTTTGATTTAAGTATTTATTTACTTTGATTCCTCTCTTGAATAAGCCCCTTGCTCCACCAGGCGCCACATTTTGCTCTGATTTCAGGGCTGAACAACAAGTTTCCTTGAAGGATGGGAAACAGTATATATACCAGGCTTTAAGGTATGTTTTCTCATATTGGTGAGTATGTGAGAAGTGCTACCCAGTCAGCAGTGACATCTATATTAAAGCCCAGCAATTTTAAAGGAGGCAGTGCACACAATGGATCAACTGCCATGGGTGTGTTTCTTGCACAAAACACAACAAACAACACACCACTGCATCCATTTAAATAATGGGTTTACTGCATTTTGCTGGGGTGGAACACAGCCCTATTGTCGGCAGTGGGTCTCCAGTGGGAGTGGAAGAAAGTATTTTTCCCTTATTAAAATTAAGTCTTGGTTGGATAGTTTGTTATATAGATATTGTGCATATTCAAGGCCTGAATACAATAAATTCTGCATAACTTTAATTGTCTGTTTTAATTTACCCTTGCCATTAGCGGTATAGTTTGGGCGGGAAGCTTTTAAAGTTATTGTTTGATTTATGTACCGTTTTAACTGTGGGCTGGGAACCTGCCTCAGTGAATTTCCTTTGATAGGCTTTCTTCGATGCATATTGATGTTTGGAAACAACAACAATTTTGGTTCTCCAAAACTCCCAGCTCCCATTTTGATCATCTTTAGCCCAAGAGAGGGCAGCTATCACAATGGGGCACATATTAAATTCACAGTACTCCTGAACTCCCTACAGAGTTTAGGGAAATGGAAAGCAATAAGCCTTCACAAATATTTCACTGTCTTCTCATTAGTTCATCCTTGTGTAAGATTATTATGTGTGTGAATATATGTGTAGCACGCTAACATTTCTGGAGTGGCATGTTTGTGACCTCGAAAGCGGTCTAACCTTGTCATCGTGAATTCCTGAAACCTGCTCGAACGTCTTCTCCCCCACCATTACTGCAGCAAGGTTGGCCGTATAGCTGGACAGCACCAGTAAACAGAAGATAGCCCAAAGGTTCATCAAGAAGCGTCCTGTCCAGCATTTAGGGGTCTGTAGAGTGGAGACGTATGACAGGTGAAACTTGAGTTTGGCTTACCTTTGACAGAAACTAGGTTTGAAAACATATATGTGAGAAAGGACAAAAGCAAAAAAAAGAAAAAGTGTTTAAAAAGGTCCTTTCAAATGTGTCCCAGCTTCAGATATGTACCCTCTTCATCCAGTTCTGCTCCCCAAGGAAAGGCAATCCCATTTATTAAAACAGAGCAAAAGAACATCTAATGCAAAACACAAAATCTAACAAAATGTGACTGTTAGTGTGACACGTCAAAAATATCTCTCCGTGAAATTGGCTGCTTCGGGGAATGAATCCACCTGAACACTGTGATCATTTATTTATTCCACCAATTAAAATCCACTTAAAAGAAGAAAAGAGATGAATTTCCAGTGTTGTAAGGGCTCGGGATTAATGAGATATTAATTATACAAACAAGGTTGTAACCCATTATAAAGGTTTTTGAAGTGTTTCAGAACTCTTTGCACAATTAATTGGGGAATTCAAAAGGGAGAAACAGAGAATGGCGTGCACAATACAAGCATAAATTGTTGTCGTTCTATTTGTTGTGAGCTTTTTGTTCTATAAGCCTGTCGCACTAATAATAACGGCAGAGTTACAAGTGGAAATTTTGACTGAGGAGCATCTTAAATAATTTTTTTTAACATTATCATTACCCTTATGCCCTCGAATTGCAGTGTAGCAATGACAATCTTAAAACATGGATTCAGAGAGTCACAGTTTCATGTTTAACAAACCTAAGGAACCACTGCCATTAACCTGCAGTGTGGAGCCAACGGTCAGGACAAAGTTTTATCAGTCCTTAGCCACACGTAATTAGCTGCTTAATAACTTGGTCAAAACTCATGTTGTCTAGATACTCTCAATTCACTTCACAGCTCAGGATGAAAGTCTTAACAGCATGGTGGTACGCTCCTTTCTTTCTTCTTGTTGTTTCCACTGCTGCACATGTGCATGGAGCAGCACAGAATAAATGCATTGCTCAGTAAATTATGGTACTCAAACTAACACTACTAGTAGCTACTGTTAGTGCAGTAAGGGGTTCACAACTAGTTTTAACTCATCTACTGTATATGCTTCTTTTGTGTTCTTTGCTAAGTTTAGCTCTGACTGAGCTAAAGTAAACAGAGCTGTCACAAGAGCTTCAGGGATTATATTTTTTTTAAGTTCTGTTATTCTTTTCTTCCCCTGACACAACAGAGCTGGATTTTCATTCTTTGCACTTTTCATGGTAGTCAAACAACATGACACCAGAGAGATACTGCACATGTACAGGTGCAAATTGATTGTCATAGTCCACAAATGTGCGTGACTGGTCTCTTTGATAAAGAGTGACTGTTGTGATCGAGACAATTACAAAGTACCATCCTGAAATAAATCTCATTTGTCAAGCATATGATGGAGCGAGACATTTGAAACGCCAGTATGCATTGTTTATTCACTGTCATGTGCACAAGTTTAACTTAGCCCTGCCTCAGGGAACAAACAGTTTTAAGAAATTAAAATCTCTTTTTGCCTGTCGTTACAGCTTTCACAACTTTTTCAGCTATTCAGATAAAAAGACAGTGCTATTCACTGAGGCGGACAATAATACCCGAGAAGATGGTGGAACATAAGAAACCTGGCTGTGCAAGCCGTACATGAGGTTTGAGATAATAAAGAATATTGCTTTTAACACCATGTGTTATCATTAGGCCTGGATGGGATCTTGCCCTGAAATAAAAGTGGAATGACTTTGATTTCATTTTCATGCCTGAGGTTTTTTAAACCAGGTCATTCGTGTGTATGCCCACTTTTACAAGCTGCCGGATGAGCTGCTGGAGACGTTCATAAGAAATGAACTGACCGCTGCTTTAACTGAAGTGTGCAAGCTGCTGAGGCTGATGCTCACCATTCCTATTACAAGCACATCTGCAGAGAGGTCTTCTCCCTGCCTGAAAAGGATTAAAGTCTACCTAGAAACACCTGTGGACAGGAGAGACTTGGCAACTTGGCAACAAGTTCAATGAAACCTTTTGATTTCATTGACAGAGTTGCTGAGAAAAGTGAAAGATAGGAGAATGCCCTTCATCAAAAAGTAGAGGTGAGGAACTACACATACTTACATGGCCTGTCAGATCTCTGTTCCAATATTGTGAGTTTGCTTGCTAGCAATCCACTTTGGTTGTGAATGGTGAGCTTTTTAAAATGCAACTGCATTTGTAAACTGAACACCTTTTAAGATTTTCTGTTGCCCCCATGAGGCTAAGCTAGCAGCCTTTTGCAGCCATTGCTGACAGATTGGGAATGTAACACAGGGTGTAAAAAAATAACTAAGAAATAACATATATTGTGTGAACTTGGACAAAAGCATTCTTCTAACTGCTAAAAATGCAGCTTTCACTGACATTTTAGCAGTACTGGCTAGAAAGCTAATTACGCTAACATTGGCACCGCGGGATGGCTGACTTCTGTGATGTTTCAAGCTGACTGGTTTTAAAACATGAATCATTTAAAGGAGCTGTAACTGAAAGTGAACTTGATGGATACAAAAATGATACTATGGACAACTTGTGATTTTAATATTAGCCTAAATAATAAGGCTAAAGCTATATTTCCTAGGCAAAACATTACAATCCTGCAAGTTAATAATGCACAGATAAAATAAACCCCTGTTCAATTTAAAGGTCTAGTAGCACTTAAAAGCGACTGCTAATTCATTCTAAAAGCAACAGTTCATCATCTAACACACTTGCTTCCAATCTCAAATGGCTTTTAAGGTTAGATATGTTGACAAGAACATTGCTATCTCGGTTATTTTTACCTGCGGTTGCCTGAGTGTAAATTCAAAGGAAATGAAGAGCAAAACAGAGCACCTAATGTTACTCTAAACCCTGATAGCAATGGCAGCTTCATATAGTACAATACAGTGATATCCTTGTTGTGAAACACAACCACACAGATTAATGGTTCTTGTGCTTGGCCTGCGGAAGTGATGCTCAGTTATTGCTATCTGTAGTAGTCAGGTATGTTGAGGATAACAGCTTATGTTAGAAGAGGAAAACCTAAATATATTCCTTAAGCATTTGTATTGCAGAAAGACAAAAAAACAGACAAAAATTTTCAGTTGGTTTCCTTGTCTTGACATTCGCCTGATCATTAAAGTCAAGTTGTAAAACTCAACCCAGCAGTAAAGGTTTAGCAATCAATTTATTTCCCCCTTTCTTTCCCATAGCCTGAGTAAACCTGACGACTTGGCTGTGACCCAGCACACAGAGGTTCAGAGAGTTGCTCAAGGACATTTTAACAGGTCACAGGGCTGCTAATGAACACAACCTGTTAACTGACACATCGCCAATGCGATGATCAAACCTGTGACCTTTCAATAATGGGAAGGTCTTACAAATCACTCGACCGTTCTTTCACTTAAGTTGTTTTCTCAGTTTACTTTAAGGGTAAAATGTGGTTTTGTATTTATTTAAATATTATGAGCGGCAATCTCACTATAAGGACAGGAATAATTTAAGGAAAAGATGTTACTGCACGGAAACTTGAAAAGCAAGCAAGTTATCTTAATGATTGATTCTGGAACAATGTAAGGCTATATAAAACAAAGACTGCAGAAGACAGAGTCGTTATTCACTGGCAAATACATTGAGATTGTGTTTGTGCACCAGTGTGACTGTGGGTGTCACACGATCTGTTAAATCTGACAAGGTTTTGAAAAATGCTGTTACTCCAAAGGTACATTTAATATTTGTAATTTACATTTTCATACCAAACAAATGTCATGAAAATAAGTTGTCTTTTTTTTTTTTTTTAAATCTCTGAAGTAACAGACATTGTTTTTCAAGTTGCTTTCAAGTTATTAGATAAATTTGCCTCAGTCTGAGGATTTGACTTCCATTTATCCTTCGCAATTCTGTTTCTCCCTGATATTAACCTATGTCGCCATGTTTCAACTTTGCCTGCTCGCATGCCCCCCCTCCTTTACATCATCCCCTTTCTGCCCACCTCCACGTCACTGTCAATCTGTTGCTTTTCTCATCCCTGCTTACCCACTTACCCTTTCAACCCCATCTCACCATCCCTCTGTCAGCCTTCCTAATACCGTCTTTTTGAAACCTATTTCCTGATTCGCCTTCTCACCTTCCTATCCCCCTCACTGGCCCTCTTCTCCGTGCCTTCTTGTTTTTAACTTTGGGTCTGACTGCGTTGGGGAGCTAACCTCAACTTGCTCCCATTTTCACCACCTTCATCGAACCCCATCATCCTCACCATAACTCCTTCACTCTCTGTCACTCACTTACCCTTTCACCTTTCTGTCCCTGTATGCGTATTATCCTCCTTGTACCTTTCTACTTCATCACTGCCTACCTTCTTAACCTATCCCCTATCAATCTTTTCTTCTCCCTAGCCATCTCCATCATTTTTCTCTCTAGCACCCTCTTTCAACTTTCCTTTGCCATTGGCAATAAGAATCCCATAAAGCATCCCCTCCCCCTCTTCTTTGCAATGACTTTTCCTCGCCCAGCCCCACATGATGCCAATTAATCACAGAGAGAAGAGCTTTGTTACCTTGGTGGCGACAGTGCGTCCAAACAGTATGGCGTAGCAGAGATTAAGAGCAGAGGAGTAGGAGAATACACGTAGTCTGTTCCGGCCATGGGGTGTCATGCCAAAGGGGCTGTTCCACTCATACAAGGTGAGGAAGAGCGCTGTGAGATGCAGCGTGACAAAAATACCCACCCACATGGACCAGTGGAGGGGCCACATGAAGGCTCCAATGGGAGCTGCAGTGTCCCGGCTACGGACCTGTTGGATCAAATGCAAACACAAGAAGCTGACTTGAGACCGTTGATTGCCATGAATTGTTTGTATAAACTTCTGTTAATAACTCCTCGGCAAATTAGCTTAAAAAAAATGCACACATTGTTTTTATCCCGTGCTATTTATTATTCAGCCAGGAGAAGAAATCACTTTTTAAAATGATGAATATCTCATTTTCAAATGGAGCCGTATTGTCAGATCATATCATGCGTTGCAGATTGTCAGCTATAGAGGGAAATGCTAACCAATCAAAGAATAGCTACAGCATGTTTGAGGACTCTGTCTCTCAAATGCCTCTTAGACTCATTACACACTCTTAAACTGCATCCAATTTTGAAGTTCAGTAATTAACATACACTCTCAACTAATGATCTCCCGCTCCTTACTACAATACCAAGGTGAGGGGGCTTAGGGCGAACAATAAGTAGCTGCAGGCCAAACGATTAAATCATACCGGCAGAGGCATAAAAAGTCAAAGTAACACTGAGGACTGCAGTGCTTTAACTTAAAACAGAGCACATTTTTAGGACATGCGCCATGAATTCTACAGTCGTAAAGAATCAAGTTTAAACCTCCAACAATTAATGATGACTTCAAGCAGTTGTACCAGAATGCCCAGGCTGGTGGAGTAGAAGGGTGAGGTGAAATCTATAACTCTGCTCCTGGCAGAGTTAATAGAGAAAGAGGTGACGGCCATATCGGCGGTTCCGCTCAGCAGATCTCCTACCAGTCCCGTCCAGCGTCCTGTCCCACTGAACGCCCCATACTTTCCATCTCCCACAATATATAAGTCGAATGTGAAGCCCATATCTTCTGCCAGCTTTTCCAACAAGTCAATGCAGTACCCATAGCAGCACTTTCTCAGGTCCTCTGGTAGTTCTGAGAGGAAAGAAATGATGATGGTGTGATATCCATCCGGACATTCATATGCATGATTTGGATGTGGTTGCACATATGGGAATTGTCTACAAACAACCATGGCTGAAGGAAAATGTTGATAGATTCTTACATTACACTTCAGCTTTGGCATTTTTTATGACCTGGCATGGACTACATTTATTCACATTAAGTACTTGGATAAAAAAAAATTAACAACCCTCAAACTCATTAAAGAAAAGTAGAGCTGGCAAGATGTAATGGAGCTGCTCAATATGAATTTTTAAGTTCTTGCCATGTTTGCCATTTTAACTGCTCTGGCAAACATTTTCCTTGCAATATCGCTTAATCAACATCAGCAGCGTCCCCGTTGCTCTTGCTTGGCTTCTGGACCTCTTTTACAAATGAACCATCATGAATTTTATTTTCAATATTTTGTAAGTTATGTTATGTAAAGGTGTAAATACTCCTCTGCATTGAAACGATTAATCCTATCAATGGCAACCGAATAAATTCACAGTACACGTCAACATTTAGTACCTGCATCATCGTGAAAAAAATTTACATTTTCCTATAGCTTCCATATGCAATCGGCTGATTAAAGTTAAAGAAAGTCAGGTTGACTATGCTGTGGACTGGATGTATAGCTGCAGATAATCTCATGTGTGAAAGAAAGATCGTAGTAGTACATCTTTGACAAGATACTCTTGATCTCTTATTGATTGAATTCCTATATGCTCTTCATTCATGAAAAATGTAGCTGGTGAGTGTAGCCCTTGACCCTGACCCTGTTATATTTTCAACTAAACTGACCTGGTGCAATCCCTTATTGATTCTACCTCAAATTTCCATATGTGCTCTAGAGACATGGCCAGCCAAATACAGCAACACTGAAACTGAAAGGAAAAGATCTGAGGGTTTATGTAAGCAAAGCTTGGAGAGGCCATAAATTAGAAGTCATAGATGCTCACAGTACAAGTTAAAATGTTTCTGACAAGTATTACACTTCTACAGTATAATGGTTCTATAATGACAGTATTCTATGGACAAATGGCAAAATAACACTCACCTGTGCCATCCCAGTCTACTGTTGTAGTATTTGAGTTGTGAAGCTGGTTAAAAAGGCCATGTATTATACTAGACTGGTTAGTTTTGGGGTCCAGACAAAGCTGTCCAGCTGGACACAATCCATCCTCGTCCACCTCCCGTGTGAAGACAAATGGGTGTTCCACCAGGGTCACAACCCTGAGGCGGTGCCCTTCAACCGAAAGTCCCGGCCTCCAGCGACCTCCAAAGTTGCCGTCACCCTGGCCATCCCCTCCCCTCACCCCGGCTCCAAGACCTTGTCCCTGGCTGGTCATGAACCCTCCCACCAGTCCCAGAATGCCACCCTCCAACTCCAGTCGACCTCGGGTCCACTGGCCTACAGTAACCCAAGCAGGCTGCCCCAGAGCACCTCTCTTCAGACTCCATACATGAAACAGTTGGGAGGACAGAATCCGAGAAACACCAGCATCGACCTGGATCAGGCCTGTGGCCCCGGTGAAGGAAGTGTTGGAGAGAAACCTCGAGGGACAGAGGACAAAGAACAAATAATAAGTGGAAGCCAACAAAATATAGAAAATAAACTTGACATCCACCTTAAAAAAGTACAGCCTGCAATATTATACAGATGACACTAAACATAGTCTATGAAAAAAGGCTTATGAAAAAAGGAAAATGGGGCTAATGCAAGAAAAAAGTTACAGTGTGGTTGCAGAGCTTAAGCAAGTCTGGTCTCTAATGGGTAATTGCATCTTCCAGAGAGTCATAATTAAAAGTTAATGCAGTGCAGTGAGGGTCTTCTCCTCCTATCTTCCAGTCCATACAGGCAGTCATTGCTATTCGGCTCACTCGTCTCCACACATTAGGAGGAGCAATCCCCATTCGCACATAAATCTCTCCTGGCCTCTTGAACCACGCAGGGATTTTTTTGCACATGTCTTAGCAGTCGATCACGTGGACATCATCAAGCCATACGAGCTCTGTTTGATCATAAGGGATTGTCATGAGGTCATTGTAAATCATAGGGGTGGTTGTTTAAATGTTAAAGTATGCAGGAACCCCTTCAGTATGGGTGCTGAACCGTGCTGGGACTGTTGATGATGTCTGGGTCAAGGCTAGAAATGGCAAGTTTTCCTTCCATATAATAGAAACGGGTGGTTGAGCCGGAGTCCTTTCATAGAACAGAAAACAGGTTTATCCTCTTGCGCTTAGTCGTCCCCCCCCCAATCTTTTCTTCTTTTCTCACTCTCATCACTAGGTTATATGCATGCATTAGCTTAGATTGTGGCAGCTGAGAATATTCTTCATTAAATATGGAATATCCAAAGGATAATGAAAAGGCTAAATTTATCTTGTGGGTCATTAACCTGTCCTCCAAGTTTAGCCTTTACTAAAGCCTGTCTGCCCCACACAGAGACTGATATAAAAATGTGAATATATGTAAGGTTTTATGTATTCCGCTTTAGTTCCTTGCCCTATATCCTCTCATTGTGATTTACTATAACATCAACATAATTGTAAAGAACTTGATTAAAAATGCTTCTGATTGGAAGCCATCCCCGTTCCCTTTCACATTAACTTATGTTTCCTCATCGGCAGCTCCCTTCTGTCTCTGTGGCCATAAAGCGAAAGTGCTAGCCTTGCCTTGAGCTGAAATCACTCATGGTAATAGCACGGCTGAATCATCATATCCAATAGACAGCAAATTCATCAAGCCAACCAACTCCAGACTCTTAGTCTAAGCTGGCCAAAGAAAGAAAAAAAAAATAGCCACACTATAAGCTTTACATCTTTTATCCAAGGAGAAAAGTGCAAGGTCTCAAAGGGTCCTCTCCCACTGTTTGTGACACGTTTGGATTCATGCCCAGAGATAAGAGGTGAGATAGGAGTGTGACATAATATAGGGATAAGAGCAGTGGTGTAAAAAAATGTACTGCACACTTTAAAGCTGCACCACCTTTTAGTTATGGGTCCTGCGGATTGTTTTTGTAGCATCAGGCCAGAGGCTGTATTTAAAGGATGACTCTGGATTTCACAGCAGGTTGATAAGTCACCCAGCTATGTCAGAGAGGGATGGCTTCCTTCCCTAACACCTGGCCCAGGTTTACGCACTCAGAGTAAATGTCAGTGGCGTGGTCGGTAAATGATGACTCTATAAGACTGTCCCAAGCATGCGTCTCAATCTCTTGTCAGTCCACCTCCTTCAGTTTGGAGGAAAGTTTACTCCCTTCGTCTTTTTCTGCCTGTCTGTCGGGAATGATACAAGGCCTGCTTGTTTCATTGGTTTTAATCTCTTCGGGGGAGATGGAATCAGCGTGGCAGCTTGTGTCGAGTGAGATGGCACTGACTGGCAGATTTCACTCTGATAACAACAACCCGCTATCTTTTTTCCTCCTTTTTCTCCTCCCTCACATCCTATTCCACACAAGTGTGTCCTTCCTTTCCTTTGTTTTTACTTCTATTTTTCTTTAGCTGTATCCTACTTCCTCTCTTTTATCTATCTGTTTGTCTTTGACCACATTCTCCCTTCTCTCTAATGTATTTTTGGGAATAAGCACCTAGGGATTCTGTGATTCTGGACATTCTGAAGAACAACATCAAAAGTGGCTAGTTTCTCATATTTTTATCTTCATTGCTTTGGAAGAGTAATTTTGTAACTTTTATTTTTGTAACCTCTCATCCTCTCATACCTTCTTTACTTGCTAATATCTCAAGACATCCTCCCTCCCTCCCTGCTTTCCCCACTCTGTCCCCAGGGCATTGAGCTGTTAATTGCCTTTTCCATGTGGAAGTCTCTCACTTCCTCCAGCTTTGTTAAGGCTCTCCAGAGAACTGCCGTGTCTGGCTGTTGGAATCAAGGGATAAGAATCAGGGAGTACACTGGAGAACAAGTGCATGAGTTTGAATAGTGCAATAGAACAACCCCTTTTATCAGTCTTTCACTGGCCATGAACAAAGGTCACTGAGACTATTTTGTGGAGAACTCTATTGTAAATAGTTTATTCTGATAGGCTAGACCATGTACCAATTGGTTGCCCATGAAAAGATTGCATTTTTCCCTAGAGTCCTGATGAAGTTTGAGTCATTTAAAAATGTCTTCTTTTCTTTTCTTCTTTAAATAAGTTTTGCTTTGTTTTTTTATATCTTCATAGAAATAGGCTTAAGTTGAACTATAAAATATATACCTTGGATGCAGTCTTAGTTTAGCATGCACAATGCTTCATTAATTGTCTCTAAAATATAGTGTAATAAAGAGTTGTTTGAAATGATATTCATTTGGCACATGGGGAAAACTAAAGTGTTACGCAAAGTAAAATTTTGACTTGATACAAATTTAAGATTAACAACCATGGTGTTAAAATTCATACAGTCGTAAAAAAAGAGAAAAACAATACAACATAATTCAGCCAATAAACCAATAACATATAAAACACAACTTATAGAAAATCAAAGATTTACTAAATAGCCGTTACTAGTCATGATGTGATTGTTTGGTGTGATATTAAGATGAAAATAATGTTGTAGTCCCCTGGGAGGCCTGTCTGTCCCTTACAGCATTCTGCTGTGTGTTTTTATATGCTGGTATCCTTTTACTACATTGGCAGTGTGTTTGGGATTATAGCCATCCCGAAAGATGAAGCGGTTACCAATCAGATTCTTTCCAGATGGTATTACATAGATCAAAATCTGACTGTACTTTTTTGCATTCATCAATTTCATTTCATCAACCCCACCCGCCCAAAAAAACCCTGTACCACTGGCTAAAACACTGGCCCAAATCATGACAGAGTGTTATACAGATGGCCGTAGACACTCACAGTTGCACTACTCTCCTGACTTCTTATGTATATGTTGATGATTATTTGAACCAAAGTTTCACATTTATATTCATCACTCCTTAAAGAACTGTTTCAGTCCAGTTCTTGTATAATTTGTCATACCTCAGCCTTTTCTTCCCGTTTTCATTCCTTACAAATTGCTGCTTGAAAGCCAGTCAGACAATTTCTAATGAGGTTTCTGATAAACAGTAGATGGATCATGTGAAGGGCTAGATGCATCTCTCTGGTCCCGTGCCAGGTCTTTGCTGTATGTCTTCCCATTTTAAGGATATTTTTAGTCCTGCCACTTCTTCTTTTATCCTCCATTTGTCCATTTTATTCTAATTTTTTTAAGGGCCCACTATGCAGGGATATGCCAAGTTTCCAGCTAATAGCTCTTTGGAAATCACCTTGATGGTGAAAATGTAATTTTACACCTGTCAATCCGTACTATTTTTGCCAGTTTTTTGTAACTTCAACTGAATGAATAATTGATAGGCCAGCAATAAGTGATTCAAGAGTGAAAATGAGTGAAAAACCTTGAAGACATTCAGCAGCCATTCAGAACTTTTGCACTTAACAAAAACTGATGAGTTAAAGTCTGGCTCCTTGGAAACAAAATATCAAGAAATGAGAGGCGGCTAAGGAATTTTGCATAATACTTTACAACATATTAAAAATATAGATATGATAATATCATAAACGGTCCATCAAAAACCGGTTAGGGTTATAAACTCTCTTTCCAGTTTACCTCTTCAGTCTCTTCTATTTCAGTAACAGCCTTGCACTAAGTAGGACTACACTACAGCCTCAGCTTATCAGCGCATTTCATGCCTGACTAAAGTAAAGTGACTACCACTGTTGCATGTTTTCTGTCTCTGCAGCTTCTCTGTCACACATCGCCTGAGTCATTTAAAGCTAGTCTGTTAAACTGCACTAACATCTGCATGGTTGCTGGCTTGATCGAGTCGCTACAGTTTGGTGCTCTTAAATTCAAACTTTGTATACATACTGGCCCCTGCTTTCATCAGCGGCATTTGTTTGTAGTGATTTAGGCAAGTAATTTATCAAAATGTTTGCCCTATTATCATTATTGTGAGTTGTTTTGGCCACAATAACCATGAAGTGAAAAATCTATCGTGGCGGCGCTACTCTGAACCTAATTAACTTGTTTCAAACTCTAATAATGGATGTTCAATAACACAACTTCCACAAAAGCCTGTGGCCCTCCATGCCCCATGGTTCTGAGATCCCAGTGCTCAACTAAACTGCTTTGCGGACAGAGTGCTGTGAGAATCCAGCTTGTGATTATGTGGCTGTTGTCTGTGATCACTCTCAGCTGGCAGGCACCACGTGGGCTCAATATTTGCTGTGGACCCAGCTCCTACCACAAATCCTTCCCTCACCAGTATCACATGACTTGGATGCATGCTGTTTTATCCATTGTACCCTTTGAAGTATATCCATGTCAACTGTTAGAGAAAAATATTTAACTTTGCAGTGAGTTTATTGCAGCAGGCTTCAGTGCATCATGCACTATCAGCCACATATTGCTCAAGAGGATTTCTAGAGTATGCGAGTGTGATAGGTTTTTGCACTCCATGTCCAAATGCGAGGATTTACGTTTTTCTGCTTCAAATGAAAATGTTTAAGGTTTAATGTGTATTTCAATCAGTTTTTTTCCCCCATGTGTCAGTGGTTATCATCGTAGACCACACCTTGTCAGACCCGTGAAAGCTGTCAGAAGCCTTTTTTTGAAAGCTGCAGGAGTTGGAGCAACAGCAAACAGAAACACACAAAACCCCTCTGGTGTCAGTCTGCCAATCTGTATGCCATAAAGACCTCCTCCCCACCTCCAGTATGACAGTGCTATTCAGAAATTACCACCCCCATGGTGCAAAGGACAGACAAGGGCAGCAACCAGAGCATACAGTACCACAAGTGGAGCCAGTAACTCCTCACAAAAATGTCAAAATGTCACTCAGAAAGCTAACGACCTAGCATGTATTTAGTGATGTGACCAGCGAATTTTAAATGCAGTTTTTCACTGTCTTCTATGAATCATTCGGTTATTTAAATAGTAAAACTATGTGCAAAAATTCAGAAACCCAGGAGTCATTTAAGGTGAACCTGTAGCTGCAAGGAAGTATAGAGTGTAGAGAGTATAAAGCTAGTCTTATGCCATTTGAAACAATACATTTTATTTTTAGAGGAGGTATTACTATCATCTCTAAACCAAACCATAAAACTCTGGAGTTGATCTCAGTGCATCAACATTGACAGAGAGTGGGGTTTAATGATGATCAAGTAACACTAGGCACTAATTCTAGACTTTGCTAAACAATCAAATTGAGATTAAATTAAAAGTGAAAGCTTATAGCCAGCATCAGCATCATCAAATCAACCCATACCCCCGACTGTTATCTGTAAGGGTGCCTATAGCAACAAACTACACTGCATAGGACTAATAAGAATTACCAGTTCCTGCACTGTCAGTCTGTATACCAAAAATATATATACTTGCTGTCTCTGTCGTGTGTACTCACTAGTCAGATCAAAGCTGCCAAATAGAGTAATTTGTTACAAAAAACCCTATATAGCTAAATATTATTAGAGGTGAACAAAGACATTATTTTAGCCATTTTTATGTGAAGTAACCCTTTAATTAGTTGGTGTATCCTGTACATTCTTACCTGGCTAGATATTGTCCAGAAGAGGGCTGTTCATGTCGGTTTGGTTTGTCATAGCAATTTACCATGTTCTGAGTGAGTGCCAAATCTGGCCTCACCATGGTTGCTGCAGTGACCGCCCGGCCAATCAGCTGCAAAGCATCCCGTATATAGAAGCTTATTGGCTTGCGGCCGACCTCCCCATAGGCTAACAGTCCAAGAGGACCTCCTAAAGTGTGCAGCGAATCTGGAGACAAGGGATATCCCATGATCCACTGCAGTGCTGGTAGTGATGGTGCGAGGCGCTGAGCAGCCCGAAGGACGGAGGATAGACACTCGGGGTCGGATCCCAGGAGGAGAACAGACGAAACAGGTGAGGGGGAGCGCAGGAAACGGGTGGAGATGATCTTCAAAGCCTCTTCTTCCATCTGCTCCTCCCTTCTCTCCTCACTGCTCCCCCCTCTTCTATCTCTGCTCCCTGTGATGCGAGTCAGGTTGATTATGTCCCACAAATGCCAGGTTGAACCACTGTACTTCTGAAGGTGGGTCAGTAAGCCATCACCGCCTTCGTCCCAGCCTGGGCAGATTACAGCTGCTCCTCCCCAGCTGTCCCCCCGACTTCCTCTATCCCTATCCCCACCATCTCCCCCCTGCAAAACTGCAAGGAGCAAACTTCCCAGGGTTGATGGAGGCACACGGGCTGACATCTGCAGGTGAAATCGGTTCTGTGACAGAGGATAGGAGTAAATAAGAAGAGTTGAAAGAACCAAAAGAAAAAAGTAGATCAGTGAAAGAGTTAGGAGAAAAAATACAAAAATATAAAAACAGAACAAATAACAAAAAGAGAAAGAAGATAAGAGAGGAAATAAAAAGCAAGATCAGACCAGAGATTAATAGATATCACCAAAACTAAACACCTCTGGGCTGAATAACATAAAATCACATTAAACGTAGCTTTTGTATGCACCAGAGCTCTGCAAAACAATTCCTGATGCGGCAGTAATTTACAGCAACACAGATCAGAAACAATCAGTCACATTTGTTCATTATCTCTCACTCTGAATGAGAAGAGTCGCACTGATACAAACAAGGAGTCAATGATTCGCATCTAATCTGCAACATCACAGTTGGCTTGGCAAGACAACAGTAGCATCCACAGTTCATCCAGAAGCCCACATTTCCAAACCCCACTGAAAACACTAGCTTGTTTCATACTGTTCCAAAATGGATAACACTGTTGTCCTTGAATGCAGCTCACAGATGGACCTTCCCCTTCCTTCCTTTGGGGTTTCTATCCATTTTTCATCCTATCAGTGCTCCAGGCAAGGTTGAGGGGGGAGACTGCTTTTATATAAAGAGCTCAAAGTTTAGCTTAACATGACCTGAAGTTTGCTTTGAATGGCTCCACCCAAATGAATAGAAGAACATCCTCTGGCACAAATGCATACACATTTTCAGGATCTTTGTAACATATATCCAGAAAGACGTCTGTGCACTATAAAATAAAACACACACAGAAGTTACCTAATTGAATCTGTATACTATTAATCTACGAGCTTATGTCCAGAAACACTTGTGGAAAGCACACACATGCCTGTATATCTGAAGATAAGCTATCTGAACACAGATATAACCCACACTGAGACACATTTATTCAAGTGGAAATATCCCACCCAGGAGTACAGAGTAAACAGCGCAACCCTCTGCTGAAAGTCCTTGAGTCTCTTAAGAGAGTCAGAGAAAAAATATTTGAAGTCTGGAGAGACATGGATGAATTAATGCCGTATGTTTGTCTTCCCGGAAAGGCCCAGGTGTGTGCAAGGGGACAACTGAAGATAGGTCTTCTCGTTTGAACTCCGCAGGGGAGCTAGAAATGTGGGGGTATCTGGTAAGTGGGGGTTGTTGGCGAGATGGAAATGGATGACAGAGACTAATAGAGATGGGAAGGTAGTGCCTACAGGTGCAAGTTTTATTCAGTGTATTTCTGATAGGAATAAAACTAATATTATGCATATACAGAAAATGTGACGATAGAAGATCAACAGAGCGCCTCAAGGCAGCTGGAGGAATTAGTATGTAAATCTATATCTGCTCTCATCCTAAATTCCTCTGAGTACGATCTATCTAAGCTAGCGCTTAAATATTAATATTCGACTAAATGTATGGTTATGTTATGATTCCTGTCCTGAAAAAATTGTCAGAGGCTACAAAAATCGGAACAGACTGAGTCTGCATAATGGAGAAAAAGCTGTAAATTATGTTCCTTGTCTACATAGCTTGTTAGAAAACGAGAGACGAATTGTTGCTGCATTTATCACTGTCAGATTAATTGTGATAATGTTCATCTGCGGGATATCTCACTGCTGCGTCAGCTGTTTTGTACCAGCATTATTTTTTTTTCCTAGCACAATCATAGATAGCTTGTTTGACTTTTAAAGAGATTCTTTTACAATTTCAATTACATTTAAGGCATTTAGCCTGCGCTCACGATCAATTTACAGGGAGCACGACAGCAGAACTACTTCAAGGGTGAGGACGTGAGAATAATAGCAAAAGCTCAGCAAGGCGTTAAAGAAGTTGTGTTTGTAGTTGCTGGTGTTAGAAGAGAAAGCAAATTAGAGAACTCGGAAGAGGCAGACATGGGGGCCGTGATGTGATTCTGGAGAGATAAGGCGATATGAGCCATTTCGAGAGGACGTGAGTTCCAGCCCATAAGATAAGGAAGCACTCTGCTGTTTTGGCTTGAGAGGGAAGACTTCTGAAAATGTTTTGTAGGAAGTCGAATGTGTGATCCACACAAGTGGACCCAGTGAGAAAGTTCTTAAAAAAAAGAAAAGAAAAAGCACATCAGTAAGGCTTATTCTGGTTATTAATATAATCCTTTCTTGTCTGCATTTGAATGTTTCATCACAATTGTGGTATTAGAGTAAAAGAGACATGTTTTTGATGTGCGTATTGGTGCAAAGGTGATGTAATGTAACATGAAACAACATCAGAAAAGAAGGATCACCAACAAACAGACACCTTCAGCTTTGTATGCTGAAAATACTCTAGCCTGATATAACACCATTTTATCTCACCAACTCCTTTTCTACTTTTGCAATAAGATCAAGAAATTCTTCTGTAATGCAGTTTTGCTATAGCCAATCCCGAGGAGAGATCTCTCCCTGAGCCTGTGTTCAAGGGTCAGGGGTAGCAATGACTCGCTGGAGAACACACAGAGACACACTGCTCTTAGTGATAATTGTGGAGAGAACTAAAATTTTAAAAGTGTGGTTACACTTCACTGGAGTAGATAACAATGCTCATTTCCACGGGCTTTTGCAAATTGGCAAAAAATGAGATAAAAATAAACATGGGCAGCACTAAACACATCTAAACAGAGCGTGGTAGCTACTAAACTTTGGCTTTTAGGTAAGGAAAAAATCCAGTGTTGTAAACGAAACAGTTGCACTGGATTTCCAATGCAGGAATGAGAGCATCATTGTGAAGCAGAATGTAGCACATTTTTCTAACCTCAATTATCTTGTTTTCAGAAATTTTGGAAGCCAAAACCTTAATTAAAAATAAAATGTAATTGCGATTGCCAGCCTTAAGGACTCAAACAAACAAAATTCTTCGAAAACAACTCTTAGTAAGGTAGGTTGGCAAGGCACTGCACTGGCCAAGCAAATACATCAAACACACCTTGCTGCGTAATTCAAACTTTTGAATCTCATATCTTTCCTGCTTATGTCACAGTGTTGCAGTGTAAGATAAAATGATTCAATGACCTGGCTGCTGATGCCAACTCATAGTAAGCTTCTAACAGCTTACTGCCAGTCAGCCTTTTATTCATCATTATGCTTTTCTATTAAACACACATGCACACTGTGTTCTTTTTTGGATTATAAAAAGGAGGCATTTGCCACTCATTCTCAAAAAAAAAAAAAGCTGAAAAGCTCTTCAAAACCCTATATATAGCATTTTTAAGTATTGCAATGTATCCAGAACAATGAAAGCTCTGCCAGTCAGCCATCGCTCCAGCTTAATCCAGCGTGTCTTCAAAATAAGCTGGAAACATCAGTGTTTATCCCAGTGACACACCAGATTTAATGTATGCATATGTATATGGTTGCATTCTGGCTTGTGAATACTTACAACAGTCTTCACTTCGAGCTGTCTGCATGAATCTGTGTTGTTTTTGACATCCCGGTGTTCTTGCCTCGGGTTGAGTCTGATTTTATTATTTTACGTACCAGACTTTGAATTTAGCGGACCTGAGGACACCTGAGTCATTATCTAGAGGAATACATGTGGCATATTTGCTACGATGTCAAGATTAAAAGTGGCTGTGCTGTCTGGAACTAGGAAGTTTAACGTGTGTTGGCAGGCTTCTTCTGAAACACAGATTCACTTCTGTGCTATTTTGTGGAATTTGCTTTGGAGTGCAGGGACCAGCTACAGACAAACAGTCCTGATCTTGCTAGCTGTAGTTCTGAGCCCCTCTGTGCGACTCAGGTCCAGACCCAGGTTTATCTTTTTGTAAAGTACACAGGACTTTTTCAGGCTGAGTTAGAACTGTAATGGATTCGCTAAGCAGCGCTAGATTTTCACCTGTAAGGACCTCCAGTGTGTGTATGCGTGTGTGCTTTTGTGCGTATGCTCTTATCTTTTTCTATTCTCAGGTAAAAGCTCTATCCACAAGCATGAGGTTAGAAAGACTCAGAACTAAGGATGCAAGATAAGCAAAGCTAAAAGAGTGTCAGCATTATTCCAATGAAATATAAAATCCATAGCCCCTTTCACACATCTGCAAATTAGGATCCTTGAACTAAACCTTTGCTTCTACTTAACAGTTCCAGTGTGCTGTTAGCCAATGATTTTCAGGTCTTCAAACAAACTGCAAACCTAACACTCCCAGGCAGCAGAGAGGCGCAGTAGGCAAAAACAAGCAGACACAGATACAGTGCAAACACACCAAGGTGTGAGCATAAACCCAAAAGGATCTTTGGGCAATGTGGAGTAAGCAAACCGACAGGAGTGCGTTGAATCAGAACAGGAGGTAGCAGCTCTCAGTTAGTTAGCTCATTCCTTATTTAGGTCTCCATAAGAAAAGCTGGGAGACTCAAAGGCGTGCACTCAGTTGTAGACTTTCGAGAGCCAAAAATGGGGGAGGAAAAAAGATTTCCCTGAACAAAAAAAGAAATAAAAAAATAAGCACAGAAAAAACAGCAGCACCTGCAGTTTCAAAGCTTATTAAAAGTAAGTTGGAAGGAAAAGCAAAGGGGTGGGACATGGGAGCAAGTGCATTTTCTGTGTTTGTATTTGAGAATTTGGTTTGTTGAAGGAGGCAAAAAGGCCCAAGCTGAAGCACTTAAAAACCAGATGTCTCTGCTTGGCCTTCCGTCACTGCTTCAGGCAACGGATCACTTTACCTTGCTGCAGCTTGATTTATTGCAAAAGCACACTCTAGCTCTAGTTGGGTTTAACATTGCGGTCATGACTCATTTGCATTGCGCTAAGCAGTGGTGGATAGAGTGAGGCCCTGCTTGGAGTTGTCCTCGCTGCTACATCCAGCTGCATGGACCTCTGCCTGAGCCTCTGAATGGCTGCTTAGCTTTTTCCTCTGTCCAGGAACAAAGCTCATGGTCAGGGCAGCACTCCAGACAACAACACTTCACTGAACACATTAATATTTTACCCCGACTGTCACCAGGCGAGTTGCCTGTACGTAGGGAGGATG